AATTAGAACAGAATAGCTGAATTGTTGTTTAAGATATATGTTTAGAGGTGTTGAAGTAACTACTTAGCTACTGTGGTTAAAACAAAGCGAATCCCACAACAGGCTGCTGACATTGGCAAAGGGGTGTCCCATGTGCAGTGTTCTTAACGGAGGCAGCACGTTAATTACATAGCCCCAACAGGGATAACTACATAAACGTACACACTAACTAAGCCCCAACAGGGTAACAAAACCTCGGCTTAACGGGGTAATGAATAACCGGGTCAGTCAGTATCATGCTGGCTGACCCACATTGCCGAGCGAAGACCGAAGATCGAAGAGAGGTAGCGCCAATAACGCTCTCGGGACTGCCTCTTGATGCTCCTGAGCGTGGCCTCGCTCCTCCCCTCGGCCACGCCCCCTTCTGAATCTTTCCAGAAGGATCTGGAGCCGGTATCGCGTGTCCCTCAAACCCCCTTTTGGGCCCCCTTTTCTCAACCGTGCCGGTCACGTGCCCTCTCGGGTTCACCCAGACGGTCACGTGCTCACGTGCCCTCTCTCTGCCCGTCAACGGGACCATGCCCTCTTGGGCCCGCTTTCCCTGCCGTCCTTACTTACGCCGGTGCCAAAGAGAGTTACAGGACGCACAGTTACCGGCTTGTGACCATAGGTGGCGCTCACGCCACAGAGACTCGATCAGTGTCTCTCGACGTGTAATAATAATTGCAGTTCCACTGAAAATTCATTGAAGGCACAACATTATTAGCTCATGCAGCTGCTTACAATGGTCTCGCAAGTTCGCATGAACAGAACTATGAGATTAGAAAAAAACATGTAAGTACAACTAAAATCATAATAGATCATCGATTTTGTTCAAACTCAATTAGAAACCACAGAGTTATTAAAATATGAATACAAGACCTATCCGTCATACCTTGTACAGCTTGTTGAGGTCGGGGGTTACTATCATTCACCATGCTGCTCAGTATGGGCTGAAGGAGAGTATTGTAGCAGCATAAACATGAGAGCATAGAAATATAATACGGCTATCTATTTTATTGCACTGCCCACGTTGGCCCATCATGAACTAGGTTATCAACAATGCGCTACTGGGATTGCATCACTTCATTAGTGGATTACATGGGAATACATTCGCGACGAAACAGGTTTTATGGCACGCTTAAATGTCAAAGCTGTCCCTGAGTGACCCATACTGCTTAACTGGTTAAAACCGCACTGTTTCATTCAGAATATTTCCATCATGATTCACGTGTCAAGGTAACTCGCAAGTTACAGTTGAATACAAAGGCAAATACTCCCCCCCTCCCCATATAGCCTCAACAGACTTAGCTTGAGTGACGTTAGCGAGCACCTATGAAGGCTGACACAGCACACGAAGGGTGGGTGGTCTCCACCAGGCCCGGCCGCCTTTGTCTCCCGAGTGGTGATGTGTGAACACTGCACGGGTGCTTATTTGAGGCTGAGTCGACCTAGGGGAGGCCTAGGACCGGTTCAGATATAATCCTCACTGGTGTGTCGGCCGTGAGCGGGAATCAAAATGGGTTTTGCCAGGTTCGTAGCGCGGCATGCTAACCGCTACACCACTTCTACTTTGGTTCTTTCGGTAAAGTCACGTAGAATGATAATAAAATATTAAATTGATAAAATAAAATAACACAATAATAATAATATAATAATATAAAATATAATAATATAATATAATACTATATAATAATATATAATATAATACTAATTTATTATTATATAATATATTATTGTGTTCTTTTATTTTATCAATTTATTATTTTATTATCATTCTACGTAACTTTACCGAAAGAACCAAAGAAGATGAATCATTGCAGTCACGAAAGCTTTAAATCGCTACACCACTGCTGCCCACACGGTGCACTACAATGCGCTTCAACACCAACAGCTACAATTCCTGCACTTATATTGTCAATTGTTATTGCAATCATGATGAACATTCAAGCATTGTCACATTACGCGTCCTCATTAAACAACTGCCGTGTGTGGGCTTAAATATTGCACGATGCATTTTGTTTTGTGTCTGTGACCAAATGACCCGCAACATGGGTGACTACCATGCACATCAGGTCGTCATCGGGACCGTCCATAAATGACGTCACGCGATTTTTGACGATTTTTGACCCCCCCCTTCGTCACACGGCGTCACAAAAAGTCAGACCCCCCCCCCTCAAATATGACGTCACAAAGCTCTGCCCCCCCCCCAAAAAAAATGCTTCAAATCGCTTTAAACTATTGCCATTGTAGTGCGTATTTCATGTGGCGCTGCACTCTGATGTTGTAGGAGAAAACATTTATTAAAAAGTCTATTTAATTAAGTAGAACGTGTTGTCTATATTTATTTAAAGTTGCGCATTTCGCTGTGACGTCACATTTCTCACCCCCCTCGTCACACATCGTCACAAATGTCTGACCCCCCCCCTCCCCCCCCTAGGTGCGTGACGTCATTTATGGACGGCCCCATAGACTGCAGGGTTAATTAGTGGCCAGTAGAGGAAATACATTGATTTACTGTGCTTTCTATAGTAATTTAGATATGTAACACCTTGTGAGGATTGTCTGGGATGGGGGGGGGGGCAACCAGAATAACAAGAAGATAATTTACAACTTGATTCTCATGGTAAATTGAACACCCATGATAGACTGGCCACATATGGTAGCTCAACAAAGTGACTTATCACGTGGAAAAGTATATCAGCCAAATACTCCAAACGCATGTATTTTTTGTTTAATGTGGACAGGAAACCTGGAGGATCCAGGAGAAAAATCCACGCGGCCACGGGGAGAACACGCAAACTCCAAATATACTGGCGTCAGAGTTGGGATCGAATCCACGACCTCCTGTATACCGGGCGAGGCAGTTAACATCTCCTAGCCACCGTTGCACCTTTCATGGTAAAACTTGACTCCCATGGTAAACTAAACTCCCATGGTAAACTAAACTGCTATGGTAAACGGGACATCCATGGTAAACCGGACTTCCATGGTAAACAGGAATCCCATGATTTAAAGCTTTCGTGACTGCAGTAATTCATATTCATAGCTCTTTCGGTAAAGTCACATGTTTTATATATATTTTATTATTTTATTGTTTCCCTTCAACGTGACTTTACCGAAAGATCTAAGAATATGAATAGGAATCCCATGGTGAGGGGTTGGCAACCGAAATAACAAGATGCATTTTTTTTCGAATTTGGTGGGGGGGGGAAAAAAACAACTGAATAGTTCAAGAACTGCAATGCATGTACAGATGGTCGGAAATAAATAACGTCACAAAGCAGTCCTTAAAGAGCCGTACGCGGCTCCAGAGCTGCAGATTGTCAACCCCTGGTATAAAATATTGCCTCTTAGAGGCGAAATTTGGGAAACTTCGAAAGCATCCAGACCAATATTCATCTGAAAGGGGGGCTCCAGACCAAATAGCCACTGTTACACACTTTCACATATGAGATTGAAGAATTATTTCCTTAGAACTGCTCTTTGTGTTTTGTTTGTTGGCCTTCCCCACACCTCTGATTAGCACTTGTTGGCTATGTACGGTGCAAAAGAAGTTCAACATACAACACATGAGCGTCTCTAGATTATTGTTACCAAGCCTACAGTATATGTCCCCGCCTTCACAGTGACCAGCATGGTGAAGTATAGTAAATTAGTTTCCATGACCTGCATGGTGTGGAGGAGGCCCTCATCCAGCAGTGGAGTGACTTACCTCTAATGCATCAGACAATAAACTGTTACAATCACAGTGCAGGGTTGCGCTTGCATTGCTGTACAAAAGTACGGGCACCTTTTTGTCAGATGACGAATCATACGAGTTTGACCACATGTTTGGGATGCCTGTGGAGATAACCTTTACTACAATAGCTGTACAAGTGTTCAAAGTGCATTGTCTGTATACAAAATGTGGAGACATCAAATTGGTGTTTTTACTACGTAACACTAATCCAAGAAACCCCACGATGATACAATAAGCAATGCATGCAATCACAAGACAGCTCCACAAAACTTTGCACACGACAGTAAACCTGTCTGGTTTTAAGAGTGAAATACAGTAACTGTATGTTTTGTAACCTTGAGAGGCAGCATAGTTTTACTGACATCTGTTTGACCTGCCCGACGATTGCTTGGAATGGATTTTAATTCCAGCCCCTGACACTGGCATTTTCAAGATATAATTGGTCTTGGCAACCGGTGAAGGTCTCTTGATTTCTCCTAGACCGACTGTTTGAAATTATGGCCAGGGACTTGAGTGCAGAGCAACTTACGAAAGAAAGTTAACACTTGTTCTAACTCCGATTACGCAGAAATAACTGCATTATTCCTGTGGTCGCATGGATTTGTCTCCAGGTCCTCCGGTTTTTCCACATCAGCCACTTTATTGAGCTATCGTATGTGGCCAGGTCGCTTCTGAAAAAGAGCCAAAATGCTCAGTGGGCCTTACATGGAAAATAAAAAAAAAGTTATTTAAAAACACTAATGCTTACATGTTGATGCAATTATCATTAGCCTTTAGAAATTGATAGTATTAAATTAATCAATACAAAAAGGGGGAAAAACCCTATTATTATATTTTGGTACTGGCAAAGGAGGCCTCATGATGTAAATGCTTAACCCGAGCCCTCGTTACTCTGATAGTGCATTGTCTTTGAGTTGTGCGCCTTTTGGCGTCATCTGTTCGAACACCGTATGAGACGAGGCTCTAAGGAAAGCTGTCTCTGGTGTGAACCAATCAGTTTCAAGGACAATGCATAAATGATCAGTGTTGTCTTTTGTTTGCATAATGACTGCAAGTATTGCGGTTAATGTAAACATTATTCCTTGCAAAAGGTTTCAGTTTTGTTGCCAGAAAAAATGGAAAAAAATATTACAATCAATACATTGTTACACCCTGAATCGGTACGTGTCTGCAAAATAAGAACTAGTTTGTTTTGGGTTGCATTGTCGTGCATTGCATAAAAAAATCAGACAACTGCAAATTAATTTAACATGCTTTATTTTCCATGCTTAATATTGTCCATTATCTATTACACATATTACGTAGGTGTTTGCAAGTTAAACTAAACATATTTAAAAGCCCGACGAAAGGGCTGTCAATGTGCATTAAATATAGGTTGGTTGAATTTAAAATAACATTTTAATTGCATAGCAGCAACACATGAAGGTTTTAACTGACCTCTTTGCCTTCTCCCCACTTAAGAGATGTGAAAGGAATTGGTATTTCTTACTCATATGAGCAGCATCATTTCATAACCAATTTATACGTCAGTATTATTGTATGCACCATATTTCAAAATGCTCTCAGAAAATTGTCTTCATCAAATGAATGATATTGTGATCATCTCCATTCTGTACTTCATATTCATAGCGACTGAGGTTTGTTGACAGATGACAATTGCAAACTGGGACATATAACTGAAATAAAAGATATTGTATAGTTTATTTTACAAGTGTATGTATTTGTGTGATAGCATTTTGAGAAAAAAAATAATCGTATATTTCCTTTGATGTTCCCTGGAAAATCACACCCAAGTAACTGATAAACATAGCCGTTGGTTTGGTGAAATAAAAATAAAATATTGTGTTATTTTATTTTATCAATTTATTATTTTATTCTCATTCTACGTGACTTTACCGAAAGAACCAAAGAAGAAAATAAATTGTCATTAAGAAGTTTAGAACTGTCTGAAAAACTGCCAACAGTGGACGTAAATAAAGTACTGAAGACCGTTTTTTTACATCATGAAAACTTGGTGAAAATGTATGCACATTGATTAACACACAGACAAATGACTCACAATTAACGAATGTTTTCACTAAAACTGGGATATCACATTGATGTCAAGTAATACCAAGTCTGTTCTGCACTATGCACGTGCCGTGATAATGTTTAGAAACTATGTGCATTGGTACACGGTGAAAATAAAACCTGATTAACTGGAGCCAGATAAAACGCTTATTGGAAGTCCTCGGCTTAATGTGACGAGTCTTACACACGAAAACACAGGTTTCATATTATTGCACAATGCATTGAAACTTGAAAAATGGCAAACAAAAAAACCTACATTACACGAGCCAGTATTTGTTTTTGTATATACATTATCTTACTTGACATCAAGAAATGTGACGGGGCATTCCATAGAATCACAACTATACGTTAAGAGGGCCAGTTATAACCACCCTACGACTGTTAATGATAATACAGAAGCTGTTAGATATTGCCAACTTGTTGCAGACAGTACACACTATTGAAGTACAAGTCTATAAATTACACAACTATATGTCTCGCATCATCTAGAGGGTTTCTTACATAAAAGTAATACATACAAGTGCTAAGCTTATAGGCACATATTTTTACGTAAGCACATGCAGGCAAATAAGCATGTATGGCACCACCCTCAATCCGTATATACCAAAACCCATAATAATGTTGTAATACTATGATTTTAATCCCATGCATGATAATCTTAAGAATAATGTGAAGGGTTTCATCCAAATTAAAATGAAGTGGTTCGCATAAATAACTTCTGTGTTAATGTATGCATGTTGAACTTCTTTCGCACCGTACATAGCCAACCGTGCTACAAAACTCAGCGTGTGAATATCCATGTTCATATTGAATTTAAAGGGCTATGCTTTGACCCAGTGGTCTCGATATCGACTGTACAGGTGGTGCAATTGCAGCTGTGCCACGGGGCCGGTAGGTGCCCAGGCCCAGGGCTACAGAGAATTGGGATAGGAGTGGACCCCATTTAATTCCTTGCACAAGGGACTAATGCCAACCACTACTGAATTGACAGACGGTTCCCGAGGGCATGTTTACACGAGCCAAAACAATATGCAGGGGGGTTAAACCCACTCAGAGATGGGCGACATCTAAACATCCACAATGACTGAAAAAACATGTGATCAATGACCACAAAAGAAATGTAGCTGCTGATTTCATAATTCATAGAGCTGCTGTTACTTGTGAACTACACCCGAAGCTGCCTAATGCACACGCAGATGCACGCACGTGCACACATGAAGGAGCAAATCATGCTGTCAGCATATTTTAAATAATTATCCACATGCATACATTGCAACGATGATATTATTTTGAATATATAAATCCCTGCCATTAATGTAATGATAGTAAATACCATATTTACTGTATAGTTTTTTCTTAACACATAGTAAAGGATTTTCTTTATCATTGCAGCTATGTCAAATATACGATGTTATACATTTACCAAGTTAAATTTAAAGGTTCCCTTAAAGGAAATACCAGCAAGTGCAATTCAATATTGAAGTGCAGTTAAGTACGTTACATATTGAACTAGTTTCAACACCTTAATTTTTGACACTGCTGCAAAATTGAAAATTACCTTTAGTGACTTCACAATTAACACATTTAATTTTAAACAAATTCTTGTAACCTTGAGTTATGGTCGAAACGTCGTGAGAATGTTTTTGTTTTATATATATTTTATTATTTTGTTGTTTCTCTTCAACGTGACTTTACCGAAAAAACTAAGAATATGAATTACTGCAGTCACGAAAGCTTTAAATCAAAATTTAAATTCTTATACTGTTTATACAATGACAATGAAATATATCCTGTATAAATTACATTTACCTTCAATGAACTACATTCATATTTGCAACCAAATGTTACTTATACCCAGTCTAATGTTTAAAGCGCAATTATGGTGATTATTAGTAATTACCATTATTCAGTATTTGAAGTTGAATAATGGCAATCCGTTGTTTTTATTTATGAAAATAATGTTGTCTATGACGCCACCATTCATATATTACCTGCATATCTGCACACTTCACCTCCATTTGATAATAGGCAATAGCGTCGTGTATTCGGAGTTTGGATTTAGTGTTGTTTGATGTTGACATTTTCAATTTAGAGTTTATCCACTGAGCCCATGGATATACCAATGTCATGTAATAGCTCATAAATAGCTCTTTGGAACACAAAGTAAAAAAAAACCTCTTTTTTCAGGAGGGTCCTGCATTGGGGTTTTTATTTTGAGATGTTTAAGCCAATAAATTAGTTATTATTCATGTTTCAGTAAACCGGAGCACCTGGAGAAACCCCAACCACACGTGAGGGGCAATACTCCATCCCCGTACAAATGGACACCAATGGGGATTAGTCCACTTGCAGTACTGCCTGCTCGTGGCAAGCCAGGGTATGACAGATCGACGCCCAGAGGAAAGGGAGTTTCACAACATCTGTGTGATCCACCAATCGTTGCCTCCACAGTGCTAAATGGGTTGTAAGCTGCTAATACAGAAACACTGTCAGCTATTAGCAAGAGCACAACTTTATCAGTCTGATTGCCATGGAGAGCAAGTGCCGGTGGGCTGCTTTATATCTAGAAATGTGGAATTGGACTGAATATATCCTTTATGATGTAACACCAAATTGTAAATAGGTGATACCGGTTGATATGTTTTCTCAATGCTGGCCAATGCCTTAGGGCTCAGATACAAGCTTGCTAATAAGTTATTTCATAAACACCTGTAATCACAGGAGCACTTGAGCTTTTATATATATTTCGTATGCCAAATCTGCTGACATTGCAGAAAATCGATCAATGCCCCACCCTCATCTGAACTATGCCCCTTCGCAGGGCCCAAGTCAATGAATGCCCTTTTGAATTTTATTTGTAAAATTTGGCACCTTAAAAGCAAGAGAGGATTATGGCTCTTTGAATGATGATCTCAGTCGCATAATTAAGTAAGCCTCGAATGTGGTTTACTGAATGAATGCATAAAATGCAGTGGATTTCTTTACAGTTTTACAATCGGTTTGTTAGTATTTCAATAGTGAAATTAAATTGCTTAATTACCATAGAGCATTCTACTGTGGAGAGGTGGGTCTCTTCTTATTTTATGACACAGGGCTGTTGCAATGTATACAGTTGCTGCACATTTGATACTTGTTCACTAAATGAGAAATACTTTTCTCTACATTTTGGTAAAGGCCTAGATTTAACATGTTATTTAGATGTGATCAATGGCATGTGATCATCACACCGAAACCACACAGTGTATGTAGACTTAAAGGATGAAAGGTAACATCCCAGGCCTGCAATTGCTTGTTCACGTCATTGCTGGTGGAAAGGCCTCCACTACAGGGAGCTTAAGAGAGATCCCCTCTCTAGAGGCTTTAAAGGCATTATATTACTAGTCATTTAAGGAGCCAATCATTTATTGGGGATCCATAAAGGGTTTAAACTATTTTATTGTGAACTGAGAATTCCATGACTTTTTTGGATCAGGTTTATGATATATTTTGGAATGGATTATGGGCCAGTGTTTGACTTCTTAAATATTGTTAGATGTTGGTCACGTGTATCTTGCCAATGGTATTCTGCAGGTTTCCATCCTGAAAAAAAGAGACATTAACAAGTTAGAAGGTGAGCTCATTGATTTATTTCATAACTATAATTCTGCTCTTTACCGGCCACCAAAAACTCTAATATCCATGCCACTGGGACTATGATCCCCACTGTGGAAGTGACGAGCCAATGGTGTGGACATGTCTGCACGTCCAGCTAACAGATGTTGGTAAAATCCACCGCATAGGCATTTACCAATTTCTCCAATGTAGAGGAGGACATGGCGTTTGCAGGCGGTGCAATAAACCAGGTTGGTGGAGGTGCTTGTAAACAAGATGGTGTGTCACGTATGATGCTCGGGGTGTTTTTAGCTCTGCATCGGTTGATGTGAAGTTACACGTGTTGCATCCTCTCCCATTATACATTCCAACATACCATTTCTGTGCATTTTTTAAAAATAATAACATGCTCTTTTGTGTTTATATTTTACGTACTGCATTGATTAAACATAAATGTCCCACTCACCCTGACAATCACAGAATGTTGTCCTTATTATTGTCATTTTCTTTCTGCAAAAAAATAAGAAAAAGAGCCGGCAAAATTATGAGCGCAATAAACAATAAGAACATTAAATTTTGACTCAAAGCTTTCGTGACTGCAGGAATTCATATTCTTTGGGTCTTTCGGTAAAGTCACGTAGATAGGTTCAAAAAATAATAAACACAAAACTACGACGTTTCAATCGCAACACAAACAAAAAACTACGACGTTTCGATAACAACACAAGCGACCGTTGCTTGTGTTGCGATCGGAACGTCGTAGTTTTTTGTTATTTTCTTTGAACCTATCTATGTGACTTGACCGAAAGACCCAAAGAATAATAAGAACATTACTTAATTTTTAATGAATACACGTACAATGTTACTCTAAGGTTATATATATATACAGGGGATGAACTTAGTTTAAATCCCGACCATGGCTAACATCGGTGGCGAGTAATATCTGAGCCGGTTGTGATCATCCTAACTTCACCAACTCACACTTATCAGTGTGGTGATGTATGATCATGACTGACATGGTGTGGGGAAGCCTTTATCCAGCAGTTGATTGACAAATGGCTGCCATTAACATATTTTCCAACAACATAGGCCAGCGAATGAGGTCACAGTGCTTAAAGTTTATGACGGTAACAATTATCTGCTGCTAAAGTGCCCCATGCTGACAAAGAGGCTGGTGGTTTTTTTTTACAGTACCAACTGCTTGTGTGCATATGCTACGGGGATACTACTACATGTGCTTTTTGGTTGTCCTATAGATTAGACAACAGAGAAATACAGAATTTATACTTTTAGCTCTGGGATTATAAACACCAGATAAGTGCTTGAGTGACAGATAAGTGCTTGGCACTGCTGACAGAGCTGCGCGTGAAAACGCGTGCCCATTTCTTGATGCGATGTCAAACTCAAACAATACTTCTACTTGCTGGATGTCGTTTGCCCATACCTGGTGGAAATTGTTGCGTACGTTGTGTTCTTTGTTATCAGGTGTGTCCATCTCGAGCTTGGTCAGCAGGGACTCCACCTTGGACATGAGACTGTCCATGGAGCTCTCCATCTTAGCAACCCGGGAGGCAAACCTACAGTGGTGAGTCGGGGGGGCAGGTTCGTGGGGAGAATTAGCAATGCGGTCAACGTATCACGAACCATATGTCGGTGTTTGCCGGAATAGTGTCAAGCCGTGGTGGCATTTATTTCACGCGGCAAATTGTGTCATACTGTACAGCAGCCATATAAGCGTATGATCATGGAATACAACAACAATAACAATCAGAATTATCGTAACAATAGTCATGGCCTATATTTAGCCGGGAAAGCTTCACCGATAATAAGCGTGTTTTTTTCAGGAAGGCCTCTAGCATCGGGATATTTGTTCAACGAGTGTTAGACATGTGAGAGGAAACCAAAAACCCACCACGCATACAAGAGGTAACACTTAAAAACTCAGCCTCAGATTAATTGAAGAATCAAATCCTGAGCTACCATCTCTAGCCCACCTCAGCAGGTTGACAGTGTACTGGCATGTTGATGAAAACCGTGACTGTTCGTGTGCTGTCAATGTCAACTTGCCTGTTGAAGTCGTCCTTTGTCACGCGAGATGCATCTCCAGGTTTCCCAGAATTATCCATGGTTTTCAGAGCCTCAATATCCTCATTTAATTTATCCTGCAGCCAGGGAGATGATAATTCACGTGAATGGAAAAAAACAGAAGCGGCTCAATGCTGGGCAAAAATCTGAAGTACAGATGCCACCTTAACGAGTAAGTGCAGCTGTGCGCAACACAACATTTCCAGAGCACAGCATTCACATCTTGGCTGTTTTATTGTTACAGGAGTGGCTCACACAGCTTGATTTATCCAGCGATAAAGCCAAGAAATGCGACCACAGATTTTGATGAATATGTGTTAAATAATGAATCCACTGACCAGCTTGGGGAAGCATGGTCAAACAATTGTACTTAGTCGACACGGCAGCCCTGGATGAAGGCCTCCCCACACCATTGTCGGTTATGGGAGTTATTTACCCACGCTTACCCATGCTGGTAAGTGCGGGTTGGTGAACAATAGATATACTTTCCATACATTGTTTTCTATTCACAATAAGTGATATTTGCATGCTGTTTATGGTGAGTGGTGTGGGGAATGTGGCTACCTTCTGTCCCTCAAGCTCCGCTCTCAGCTGTTTCTGCTCATCTTCGTCTAACACATTGTCCGAGTCCTTGTCAAACTTGGAAAAGGCAGCTGCGATTTCCTCATCAGAGTGGCCTAGCCTGATGATGATAGGAATGAAACGTTGAAGGCAAATTGTCAGTCGGAAAATGATGTACATTTAAATCTTGACTTAAAGCTTGCGTGACTGCAGGAATTCATATTCTTGGGTCTTTCGATAAAGTCACGTAGGTAGGTTCAAAGAAAAGAACAAAAAATAACAAAAACCTACGACGTTTCAATCGCAACACAAGCGGTCGTATTCAGGAAAAGGGGGGTTAGCTTGCAAGGCAAACTGTTTATTAGGGTTTGAAATGGGTGTAAAGCACAACTAACATCAGAAGGTGGTAGGATGGGAACATCATAGCCAGTTATGACTTAAACTGGTTGATAGCGTCTAAGACGAAGGTACTTTGCAAGCCCACTGACTATCAACAAAGATTGGTTCATGAAGCCATCCATATATATAGACACAGACACAATTTCAACCGAGAAGATGGTTACAAACTGAGCAATCATTGGAAGGACGTTATCAACCAGTTTAAGTCATAATTGGCTGTGATGTTCCCGTCCTACCACCTTCCGATGTTAGTTGTGCTTTACGCCCATTTCAAACTTGCGCTTTCACAGGGTTCACACTCACACAGCCACTTCGCGTGCCGATCCCTTGGTTGCGGCTCTGCGATCTCCCATTAACATGCTCATCTCTCTTTAACATGCTAATCTCGCTTTAACATGCTCATCTCCCATTAACATGCTCATCTCCCATTAACATGCTAATTTTCACCTGGCAGCCCTTTGATTGGTGGAAAACCAACCACCGTCGGGTTGGCTACCCACCACTTACAATATCATTGGCTGCTGACATTTGGGCTACGCCCTTTTCAAACCCTGATAAACAGTTTGACTTGGAAGCTAAACCCCCTTTTCCTGAAGACGACCGCTTGTGTTGTCGTGGTTTTTTGTTATTTTTTGTTATTTTCTTTGAAACTATCTACGTGACTTTGCCGAAAGACCCAAGAAGATGTACGTTTGCACAAGCAAAGGTAAAACAGCAGTGAAATCAAATAAAACACTTAATTTTTACGATCCATAATGCACATACTGGTTTGTGTATACATGTTAATTTTAGGGTTTTTTATCCTGAAATTTCCGTTCATGACACACCTAAGAAACAGCCAAGCAATATTCAGTGAAGGATCAAGTGTGAAGCACATTAACACAAATATATAGGGATGCAACGATGCATCAATTCATAATAATTCTTAAGCTCACGATACAAGCATCCATCACAGGTGTCATAATCGATATTTTTAACATTCGTATGCATTGTGTATCATGGCTTCAGGTCACCCCTGCAGCCATTAGAGGTGCTACCATTTCACCGTGAATTTAAAAACAGAACTGCGATGCTGCATCACGACAATTTATACAATTTCAAGGGAGGTTCATAAATTTCCCGCACCTCCGATTAGCACGGTTAGCAATGTATGTTGCGAAATAATTTCAACATACATACATACACCTCTACAATGTGCAATCTAATGTATAATACACAGGTTATAGTACCAGCATGGTTAGGTGTCTTTGTAATTCATTCTGGGAGCCCATTAAATGTTGGCAATGTATATTTTTATTATTTTATTGTTTCCCTTCTACGTGACTTTACCGAAAGAACCAAGAATATATAGTCATACTGTTTGAGATTCTTGCGCCAGATGTCATATTCTAAGTGCTTTCCAGCTGAGTCCAAGGCACGTTGCATGTCTGCGATGTCATCCTTCTTCATTTTCAGTTTGTTCAGCATATTCTTGTAACCCTGGCAACGAGACAGAAAATGCCAAAATAAATGTGTGGCAAGATATGCACTTTTAAACTTTGAGATCAAGAAGAGTACTATAATGAGTGCATTAAAAAGTAACTTTCCTCAGTGTGCAGTGCAAACGAAATATGTTTTATTTGGGCTCAACATAATTATAATATTCATATGAATAGCATTTTAAAATTATTATACCAATTTCCGTTTGAAGTGTTGATTAATCTGCATTCATTGCTTCATTCGCCTTCCTTGCAATTCATTAACTTCCACCTTATTAAGACTATTTACATGACATTCATTATCTAATGCTATTTAACAAATGTACAATCTACATAAGGTATAATGATTCTAATTAGCTTATTGGACCAAAGTATACATTTTGCTGATGTGAATATTTTTCTACCCAATTATTCAAGCACTGTGTTTGATGTGCAAAGCTCATTTCAAAGGTTGCAGTGTCCTGGGAACACGATCACCATTAAACACTTGACAACACTCTTGACCAAGGAAAAACAGAGGCTCTTGCAACAACACCATTGAAAGGTAGACCTACACTGCATATCTTCCCTCGGGAAGTGTGCCACAATTCCCCTTTACCACGAATGGAAGGGAAAGGCTTCACAGCACGTTGTTGCCCGTGCATGGGTGGGTGGGGGTAAAGGATCAAGGAAAACAGCGACTCCACGTGGTGACGCCACGGAGGCCCATTCTGTGGCCCAGAGGCAAGCTGGAGTTTTTTTTTTACCCATTGCAGATGCGTAATTCGACCAATGGGAGTGAGTCTGCCTTTGCAATTCAGATAAAAACGTGTAGCCATCTAGAGGAGGGGACCGTATGACAGACAATCCATGGGGAGATAGGCGAGTGGTGCGAGTCATAGCATCGCCCTGACAGCAATATGCACATTAACACGTAGGCTTTCGCGACCAATATTCAAAATAAAGGTTTTTGGGTTAGATCAAGTAAGTATTTGCGGATCGAAGGGCACCATGTGCCTTGGGGCCTACTTAAGGACCGCGGGTGGAATGCTCAGGGCGTTGCGTGTTTGGGTCCGCTCGTTGACGGCTCTTGCCGTGGGCCATCTCTGCCACGCATGAGCTCGGGGAGTGTCGTTCCCATAGCGCGGGAGGGCCTCGGGCACGAGTGTTGTAGCTTGACACAATTATAATCATTGCCCTTAGGAAGACATCGTGTGGCACATATCGCTATGTAGTCTAAGCAAGTGTCCTGTCATGTTATTTTAATAAATGTTCTGCATAGCTGGGCCCTGCTGCATCGTCCAGCATTTCGGTGTGTCTGTATTGGCCACGTTTGTCATTGGTAGTGGAACTCAGGTCCTACACTACACGTTTAAACCATCCTGACCTGTCCTTCAGTCTAGTAGGCCTCAGGTGTGTCTCTATGTTACATCAGAGAACCCCACCCACCTGCTTGAAGAAGTCGCCAATCTCAAAATCGTCCTTCGTGTCCGCCAGCTCTGCCTTCACGTCCGTGTAAGTGTCGTTGATGATGGCCAGGAACATGTTCTGCAGAGCATCAAACAAACAGGCATGAGCCATTGCTGGCCTCTACAGGGCTCCATTGCATCCAACTATTAATCACTCACTCTCTCTGGCCTATCTAGCTCACTGCTATGAAGAAAATCCATTTTCAAAAATGTCACCCGTTGAATATTGTTTTCTGTTAGGGCAATGGTTTTGACAAATGTGAGTTTGTGTTAGTTGTCCTTATGCATCACTGCGAATGCAGAATCACAAACATTCTACAACATGAAAGATTTTGATATCAAGTAAAAACCCATACACTGAATTAGCAGTGATGTAGAAGCACTGGCTGTGATTAGAAGGAATTTGTTGAAATTGACGATGGTTAGTGTTTTAAGAAGCAACGTTTTGTATAAGTGAACTATACAAATGCGGCATACGTAACAATTATTTGGGTGCTTGCACGTGTCAGCATTTAATACTCGACTGTTTTGTTTTCAATTGCATAGCTTATGTTATTGGCTCAAGTATCACGGTGCAGTCTGTGTTGGCTCCTCTAAGTTCCTGTATCCGGCACATTGTTAGCTTCGTACGCAGGTCATGGAGAGCTCACCAGCAGAACAAAGAAGACAAAGAAAATGTAGGTGGTGAAGTAGATGGGGCCCAGGATCCGGTTGGCGTTCTCGATGGCATGAAAATCAAAATCGCCCAGGATGATGCGGAACTGCGTGAATCTGTTGAGACAGCCATTTGTATAAACATAGTGTTCGTACTGCCCTTTGTCAATCCACTGATGGATGAGGGTCTCCCCATGCCATGTGGTTGGTGAAGGCACGGAGCACAGACATGGGTAGAAATAAGTACATTACAACAATACATAGTGCTGCACAGCCCTATGCCACTCACAACGTAGCCCTTAATATGTGTTAATATACAATGCCATTTAGATTTAGAAAGCATCTAAATACAACTGCATCCCACGATGCTGTCATTTAAGCAATTGGAAAAGTTTCAATTACTATTAATAATGGCTTTGCTTATTCTTTGGGTCTTTCGGTAAAGTCACGTAGATAGGTTCAAAGAAAATAACAACTAAAAACTAAGACGTTTCGATCGCAACACAAGGGGTCGTCATCAGGAAAAGGGGGTTAGCTTCTAAAGGCAAACTGTTTTATAAAGGTTTGAAATCTGCATAGCCCAAATGTCAGCAGCATGGGCAGCTAATGTTAATGTCACCACCGAAACATCTTAGTTTTTGTTATTCACGTGACCACTGGGAGAGCGACACGCAACCTCCAAATATACAGCGGCAGGCGTCAGGGTGGGGATCGAACCCGCGACCTCCCGTATACCAGGCGAGCTAGTTGACATCTCCTAGCCACCGTGATAAAGAGCGACACGCAAACTCCAAATATACAGCGGCAGGCGTCAGGGTGGGGATCGAACCCGCGACCTATACCAGGCGAGCTAGTTGACATCTCGCCGCCATGGCAACCAAGGCGCTGCCATAAACGCACATGCAGTGCAAGAAACGCACATGCAGTGCAACAAACGCACATGCAGTTCACAAAGCTGCTGAAGTCCTCCACTTGAGAGCCGAAGACGAGGTATCCTGTCTGCGCGTAGGCGAAGAAGATGATGAAGAACATGACGGCAAAGCCCAGGACGTCCTTGGCGCAGCGAGCCAGCGTGGAGGAGAGCTGCGTCAGGGTCTTGTTGAAGCTCACGTACTTGAAGATCTAAGGGCGCGATTGCACAAGAAGCCATCATTGTACATTTTAATTTTCGGGTGATTTGTAGAGGAAGCCAAAGTGCGTTTGGCAGTCCATCATTGCACTAATCAGCATAGTAATTGTATAGTCCATCGCATATACGACTGTAATGCATCCGCCATTAACTTTTCACACACACAGTGGAGTATTTGTGCATGCTGTAACTGTCATTTGTATTGATGTTTTCAAGTCTGACCTTTCGCACAGCAATGTAATCTTCATTTCAGGTACATTCACTCACTTTGTAACCATAATAGAGTTGTTTTCCCCATGTATAAAGAAGTGTGGCCACTTCATTTGTCATTCAAAACCCTATTTGTAAGCAGTGTAACCAACATTTTCTTTATAGATGTTCCCATAATCTGACCTTTTCAAATACAAAATCCAAAATCTGAAGTCCCCAGTCAGGCGGGCGTGCGACGTACACTGCAATTATAATGTGATTTCATGAAGAAAGTAACGCAAAAGGCCCGTGCATAAAAGCAATGTTCTGTTCGGGCAAGTGAAAACCGCTCACCTTGATCCAGGCAAAGAACACATTGATGGCCAACATGTTGTTGAATTGTGTCTGCCAGAAGGCGAGGTATTCAAAGTCGGCGTAGATGTTGGGATCATTGAGCAGCGCTCCGAGTAGGTTACTCACAGCGATGGTTCGACAGATGTTGAAGATAATGGCGACCATCGAGAGCTGCAAAAAATAATGTGCATGAGAAAGGTTCTAATGTCAAATGCACTCTCTACTCCTGGTCTAATCATTGACACGGATTCTGTACCATAGTGATTAATTGACCAAAATGACGATCATTTTAACTTGCGCAGCATCTAAAAAGTTTAATCACCTAAAAATTCCTTTAGGGCCAAACGTATGAACATCCATGGCACATTCAGGTCAAACAAATAACAACAATAAATTGAAACAAAAGAGATTGAGCAGTGGTGCAACGCAACACGCAGAGCCGTCTCAACCACCACGACCGCACGCAGAGGGTGAATTGCGCTGCGATGTGCATCCATTGAGACGACACCTCGAGTCTATACAACCGGAGAAAGAGGGTGACGGAATGGCGAGGGGTTGGGAACATTTAGAGGGAGTCTAATAAGGACATAACTAGTCAATGTCCTCGATGGGAAGGAACACCTTGAGTCTGAACATAAAGAAGGGAGAGAATTAGAAGTGTGGACAACCACAGCCTGAGCATCCACAATGCTGCACATGATCACATCGTATGAGGAGAAGGATCGATGCGGACGACGTTATTGAATCAATGAAAGTGCCTTTGTACGTGTGGTACTATTTCCGGTGGCATGAGGATGCTCACCACAATCACGATGATGTCCAGGCAGTTCCACACGCTCTTGAAATATTTCATGCCATGGAGACGCAGCTCCAGGCACTCTTCGACCACATAGTAGAGGATGAAGCAGCAGAAGATGACCTCGCACGCCATGATGAAGTAGTCGAAGGCGCTCACGTAGCGGATGAGCTTCACGGTGCGAAACTGGTATGAGGGCAGTGCTCCTCCGGTGAGTGGGAACTCGACCACCAGCCTGGGAGCGAGAGTATTCATTCATTTGGCATATGTGGATTTCGTGCCAATCATACAGCACGAGGCTATCACGGTAGCTGCTATGTGTTCACGGACGGATGTAGTCTGCCGGTTAGGAGCGATGTTCCTACGTGGTTTCACCCAGTTAAATAGTTTGTGGTTATGTAAAAAAAAATGTGGACTGTGCCACCAGAACACATGGCCTACTCTTTTTAGAATAATGTCACGTGATCTTAAACACCCACTGTAGAGCTGTTGATCCACCCGCAGCATGAACGAGGGTGGCCTCAAGGCTCGAACTGCAAACCCTCTGCAACGAGTGGCAACCTGCTTCTGCTCGGCCACGTCAAGCATAAACGAACCAGCTATGTATGGCTCAAAAGGATTGCGTCGATTCGCAGCAGAATACTTACACTGTGTGCTGCACAGTAAGTGCAACGCTGAAACAACGCTTTGTATGTAGATCAATGCTCGGCATAACGGTGCCAGCAGGATATCGTATTTGCTTGAGGAAGTAGTGTGGTGCACGTATAGCCAAAGGGAAAGAGAGTGTAATAAACATGACATTAAAATGCAATCTTAGAAATGTACTTCAAGTGGAATTAATGTAAAAAAAACATGCTGAAAGCTCAAATCTAGTTATTAGTACCAGATTGCATTTTCAAATCAACCTACCAAAGTATGCAGACATACAAGAGCATGTCATGTGCATTCTGCAAAGATGCCAATTGAAGTAGTTGTATCCAAAAAATATAACGACAGTTTCCAAACTACATGTATGTGACGAACATGGAATCGTCAAGTGTATTTTTACAGTTCTGCGACATTTTTGTTTACTTTCATTACATTACAGATGAAAGTAAAGACAACAAAAGCACACCTGACGACACAGAACAGGTTGATGTTCCCATTGTAGGTGGTGAAATCAATGAAAACGGCTCGAGTTCCGTGGTCCAGCCAGAGGTAGTCCTTCAGCTCCTGCAGCATCGGTGCACTCTCGTTCTTGCGGCGCGAGAGGTCTCTGTAGTAGCCGGCTCCGCTATATTGAGCCAGCAGTCCCCAGTGGGATGACCCAGATAGCTCTTCTTCTGACCAATACTTCCATCTGTTCAGATGATAATCACAATAACGTTCATTGATCATTCATTGCCAATTGGCATTTGTCTCAAAACGATGGCCATGTGCAGAAGAAGGTGTCTATGTAAATGAAATATGGTTACTCTTTGGTTCTTTCAGTAAAGTCACGTAGGTAGAAATAAAATAGAATAAAACAAATCACGACGTTTCGATCGCAACACAAGCGATCTTCATCAGGTGGAACAACCACAGCAAGTATATGCTGAAGTAGCCCTACTTGCTGAAGTAGGCCTACTTCAGCAAGTATATTCTGAAGTAGGCCTACTTCAGCAAGTAGGGCTACTTCAGCATTTTCTTGCTGTGGTTGTTCCACCTGATGAAGATCGCTTGTGTTGAAATCGAAACGTCGTGATTTGTATTATTTATTTTTATACCCACGTGACTTTACCGAAGGACCAAAGAGTATGGATTCCTGTAGTCACGAAAGCTTCAAATCAAGAATGAAATATGGTTCTCAAATAAAAAAAAAATTCTAAAGAGGGAAGAACATATATTAAACCACCAATGCTAGTAAGGTGACTAACAAACATTTAATAAATCAATATCAGTCTGATGATAAATACAAAAAATATTGGAATTCAGCTATCCATCAATAAGCGTCTCTAGTGAGCAATCACGACCAACATATCACTGCTGTGGCTTGGCTCTCCAACACACCGGTTAGTGCTGTACGAGTGACGAATTGTCACGTCCTGTTTACGTGACAACCCTTACTAGTTGGCTGTGTCGGGTGATGGCGGGTTTCAACGACACATTTATATATTTACGCGATCTAACTCCCCAAAAAAACCTCTTATGGATGATATTGGTCGCGAAAGCCGACTGCGTGTTAAACTGATGTCGCTGCTGTTCGAGCGATGTCCACTCCAACAAGAAACTTGTCATTTGTAAAGGGAATTTTACGCAAGATTTTTTTTGGTGATACAGTATATTCTAGATACCAAGGTGCATTTTAAGGTGCACCACCAACTTTTGCTTTACAAGACAATGTATCTTTTTTCATCCGGGTAAAATCTCAACTTTGTACAACCTTTGCTGCTCCTCACTACAAGCAGAATGGCACGCGTCTTCCAGCAAACCATCCGTAGTTAGAGGAACATCTACTGGTTCAGGAATACGGAACCTCCCTTTTAAATCTTCGCACGAACCGGTTCCTACTTATACTCTTAGCTCTTTCGGTAAAGTCACGTTGAAGGGAAACAATAAAATAATAAAATATATATAAAACAATAACAAATTCTCACGACGTTTCAACCATAACACAAACGGTCGTCATCAGGTGTGTCGGTTTGCATAAATATATTTATTTTCAAACGGTGTATTTATTTATTTATAAAAAAAAAACGTCAGCGCCACGCGCAGCGATTTGTCAGTTTATTTAGAAGGACGAGTCCATCTATGTTCTGAAAAGAGGAGGAGGGGGGGTGGGGGAGACGAAAAATGAATGTATGCTGTCTGAAAGCCACTGCACCACACTGCTACGCTTCCGACTTTAAATTGACGCTTTAAATCGCGTCGTCCGCGCGCAAGTGCCTAACGCGTATCGGTGTCGGCAACTCACGCGGTGCCCGTGCCTCTTCCAAATGTCTCTTTGTCTTCTTCACCGCACGAGTATCCGTCGTAGCATCCGGGGATGATGTTCCGAAAGAGGGGGTAAATGGTGCAGGAGCCATTGCGCACCTTGAGCTGCCGGACCCTGGGTACGCCCAACATGACGTTCTCGTACTGTATGAACGATAGGTTGACGGGAAGCTGGTCGCCGTTGTACCACTTCTCCCAGTATAAGCCATCCAGCACCGGACCCTGCACCACCTGCCGTGACGAATGGGGGTCACGCGTTCAGGGGAGCAAAGGGAACCGTCCATAAATGACGTCACGCGATTTTGGACGATTTTTGAGCCCCCCCTCCCTCCCCCCCCCACCTAGTCACGCGGCGTCACAAAATGTCGGACCCCCACTCTCAAATATGACGTCACAAAGCTCTGCCCCCCCCCCCCCCATAAATATAAAAAAACATGCTTCAAATCGCTTTAAACTATTGTCATTGTAGTGCGTATTTAATGTGGCGCTGCACTCTGATGTTGTAGGAGAAGACATTTGTTAAAAAAAAAAGTCTATTTAATTAAGTAGAACGTTCTAGATTTGAAGCTTTCGTGACTGCAAGGATTCATACTCTTTGGTTTTATTCGGTCAAGTCACGTAGATAAAACAAAATCAAATAAAACAAAATAAAAAAGAATAGAAAATCACGACGTTTCGGAGGCAACACAAGCTTCCTTCTTCAGGTGGAATAGTCACAGCGAGAGATCTGTGACTATTCCACCTGAAGACGGAAGCTTGTGTTGCCTCCTAAACGTCGTGATTTTCTATTCTCTTCTTTTTTATTTTGTTTTATCTACGTGACTTGACTGAATAAAACCAAAGAGCATAAGTATAACGTGTTGTCTATATATTTTTAAAGTTGCGCATTTTGCTGTGACGTCACATTTCTTAACCCCCCCCCCCTCTCGTCACACATCGTCACATATGTCTGACCCCCCCCCCCCACTAGGTGCGTGACGTCATTTATGGACGCCCCTAAAGAGAAGCAACGTCAAGGCTCTTCGATGCATTGTTTTGATGCGTTTCGTGTTTTTTTAGGTTGCACGGTATGTTAAAATATTAGCCGATGGCCAAATCACCCACAATGCGCCCGACCGCCTCACATCTCACGAGCTTAGAACCTGGATAGTGATTGCGTGGGTAACCACCGTATATATAACAACGTCAGATGTTTCTGACCACAACCCTCGCACTGATAAAAACGTTGTATCTGTAACAATGACGCATTGCGTGTCTGTCCCGTGTTACGCGCGAGAACGCAATCCACAACCATCGCAGTGTCTGGGTCGCACCTTCCAGAAGTCGTCCATGCTGCTGATGCTGTTGAAGTTGGTCCCATCAATGGGAGAGACCGGGGATTCGACAAACAGGTCCATCATCACCTTCGTGTAATAGTACGTGTTGGTGTTCATCATCCCAAACGTCACTGCACGCACAAATCAACGGCACGCGTTAGACATTTTTGTAAACCATTTATTTGCCAGGCTACGTGGTTGTCAACAGTAGACAACTGGGATTTAATAATAGGGTTTTTTTTCCTTTTTTCTGGCAACAAAACTGAAACCTTTTTACGAGGATTCATGTCTGCATTAACCACAATACCTGCAGTCAAAATGCAAACAAAAAACATACTATGATAATATGTGGCATTGTCCTTCAAACTGATTGGTCCACACCAAGGGACGGCTTTCTTTTGAGCCTCGACCCAATTGGTGCTAGACCAGAAGACGCCAAAAGGCGTCACAGCTCAAATACAATGCACTATCAAAGTAATGAGGGCTCGGGGTGAGCATCTACATCATTAGACCTCCTTTGCCAGTACCAAAATATAATAATAGGGTTTTCCCCCTTTTTTCTGGCAACAAAACCTCATTTGCCAATACTGGGATTTAATAAACTTAATAATAGCTAACTTGATTTAGAGCTTTCGTGACTGCAGGAATTACTCTTTGTTTCTTTCGGTAAAGTCACGTAGAAAGACAAAATAAATTAAATAATAAAATACGACGTTTCGATTGCAACACAAGCAATCATCATCAGTTACAAATGAAAGAGAGAAAAAACCTAGTAAACTTAGAAATATAATGCAATACAACACAGAGAGTCGGCTAACATAACAGTCAACACCCTACCTGGTTGATTACGTTCTTCCAAAGATTGCTCAATTTGAGAGAGATAATAGCTGTGTAATATGAACCCACTGTGTTCAATTGTCTATTTGACTTGTCACTGAGACCATGTATAAACTTTTGTACTTTAAGATTTAAAAAGCTCCACTTTTAACGAATATCAGTAATCTATTTGTGTTTTATAGGAATAAGACAGAGATTCCCCGTAGTAAAATGTTTATTGTGCTGTAATGTGTAGCTCATTGTTTATCAGCTCATTGTTACTGTTGGATGAAGCCCTTTCCATACCGTGTCGGTCGTGGAGGTGTGTTTGACCATACTTCACCACGCTGGTCAATGGTGATACATGAACGGTACAAATAGCACTTGCCACTGATGTTGGCCGTGAATTCAAGCTCACGTCGCCAGGTTTGCTGCAGTTGCGCTAACCACTGCGTCACCGCTCCATCCGTTATTGACTAATGCTCGGCATAAAAACAAACATTAAATCAACAAAAGTTTTTGGATGAATGCTGCCCAAAAATTGATGTTTATTTTTTTTTAAACAGGCTCTTTGGGGGCAATGTACGTAAGGGCAGCGTGTGTTTTACAGATATAACAGCGCTGTTGACAATGGGCATTTGTTCTCTTAAAACTGTATGCGTTAAAACAAGCATTGGCTGCCTAGATTGATAATAACAATCTCTCTTGGCTGTGCAGATAAACAAAAGGACGTGCTGTTGACATGTCTCCATAGAATGGAAACATGCGAAATTAGCCATTCAAATGTGATCTCCGTGCACATTCCCAGGACAGCCTGCGTGTTTGCACGAGGTAATAACGCTATATAATTGCTCAACGGATACACGAGACGCATACTGTGCGGCAAAGATAGCAAGCGCATTGTGTCAAGCTCACAGAAAAAAAACAATGGGAACTTGTTTTGGTCGACAGGTAATAGAATAGACACGATCAAGTTATCTGTTTACCCACATAACTCAAATGTTACCAACAAAGCCGTGCCGACGTCATTTGGTCACATGACCTATCTGCAAACATTTATTGGAACAAAGCAATTTGCTCTACAGTAACCGTCTGAAGTTTAGTGCGTTAGACGGATGTGCTCTGTTCGACAGAGCTTTCACTGCCATGTGATGGCTGTAGCTAAGAGATAAAACCTCCTTTGTGTATTATAAATAACCTAGAATAGTGAAACGACATTACACGCGAATTTAAATGTTAGGCTGTCACTTTCCACAAAATGTTTCACTTTACTATCAGGATATATATTTTTATACACGTATGTGTTCTGAGCAGGGTTGGCCTGTGACTTTCCATCAACGTGTAAAGTTGTCAAAACATGTTTTGTTTCATGATCAGATGCTGGAAAGTAAAGGTATCCTTAAATACTTTAAATTATTTCAAGAATGTCGAAATATGACAGTTGTAAAATTCAGTGTACGATAGCTGATAGCCACTATAGATAAATTGCCATTTTGTGTACAATAAATGTCTATGTATCTATAAAATGCTAATGATGACAAATTATGACTAATTACTCAGAATGCACCCAATCTCTACAGATCTTAGAAGCTAAGTGGGCTTGGACCTGGAAAGTGGACAACCACCATGCAGGTGTTGTCGATTGTTTCGGGACTATGTTCAGTGCAGTGCAGCAAAATGCAACGTTGTACTGTGTTATGCTCCAACATATACAGTATACAATAGAGGTCTAACAATGCATCAATTAGTTAACATCAATGCTGAAGCTAATGATACAGTACATGCATCAGGTGGCATTTGTAAGAATTGGGGTTTCTGGTTCGTATATGTTATATGAAATCCGTTCACGTGACCTTTCCTGACCACGAGAGACTACTGCCTTTACCAAAATGTTGAAACAAAAAAGAATTGATTCATGAATCGAATTATTATTACAAATCATGACAATCAATTGGATCACCGGGAGAACAAATGCTTATTAAAAATAAAAATGTAGAAATGAATCATGGACCATTTACAACCTTATATCATGCCACCGAGCAAAGTGCGCCAATCACGGCAGGAAGACTACTCGTCTGAAGGGCCGTAACATTTGCAGCACACACCGTGGGTATTTGGCAACGTGACTTCAACTCACACAGGCAGAGATCAATGAGGAAGACGACGTAAATGATGAGTTCACGGAGGGTCGTCTTGAAGTATTGCTCCCGAGTGGCATTGACTTCGGTGAGGCGCGTTCCCCAGAACCCTGGACAGCACACACGACAATGTTGACAGTCAGGGGTTCTGGAATGGAAAGCATCTTGCAATACTGCTGGACTGTATTAAACGCAGGGCTAAAATGTCTTGGGGGGGGGGGGGTGGGGGGGTGGCGAATACTTTCAGGAGCTCAGCCCCACAGTGCCCCAGCTGAAATATAAGCCCGAGTTTATAAGAGTCTGTGGTATATTCCAGCTGTGTAGCAAATGTGATCTTTGGAACTCACTGACCATGGTAATACAGTAATCCTACCATAAATCATATGTAAACATTACTCTCTGCAATCGTACTCTTAAGCAGATCAACACTGCTTTTTGTGTTCAGTTTGTTGTTCTTACCCCGCACCTCCGATTAGCACGGTTGGCTACGTACGGCGCTGAATAAGTTCACCGTAATTCCATTACTAAACACACAGTTAACACTGACGACACACATACAACTAACTCTTAACAGTAATATAATTGTTAACACTTTCCAACCATAACACTAATCCTATGATATGCACTCTATGATGCTTGCCACTCTAATCGCAACCTCATCCCTTCCCCCATTACACAGCGACTCACTGCTGCAGGGAAACAAGTCGGACTTAATTCAATAACCACATTAACTCTCATCACCATTTACCCTCACCCGCAACAACTCTGGCCGACATAAACACACACAATACAAGTCAGGTGTTTTGAGAAATGAGTTGTTTTAATGTGTATAACTTGTTTATGGTTATGTTTGTTAAGTAACACGCACGTGAAATTGGGCAGTACCGTAATTACAAATCCAGACCCTAGTTTTCAGTGTCTACGAGTACGCAAGGTAACGCGTGTTAACGAGTACAATTAGAGCCTTACGAACAACAGACTTATCAACGGTGGCTTCTTCTTCTTCTTCCTCCAGATGTTTCCTACTTCGCACTGCCGCGGGTTCCTTTCAGGATTCGCTCAGTGGTGGTGTCAACATTCAACAACGTCGCTGTCGCGAGGTGGTGGTGGTGGTGGAGGTAGATGGGGACACGTCAGCAACGTGTTGCAAACATGAACTCAGTCCCTGAATAGGTACTTGAGACAACCACACTTAAAATTCCCCACTTAGGTTCACCGTAAAGGTTTAAACAACAACAACAACAACAAAAAAGCGCCGAAATTACCTTGACGCGATTGCGCGTATTCCCACATTGGCGACGTGGCCCATTGCAACTCAACGGCAGTGGCAGCAGCATTCGACGCGAGCACAACGCAACGTTAACAGCCAGTAAACTGTGGCAACTGCCCTACCGTTGTGATAGGGTCAGTTATACGAGGCCGAAACGTTGTGGTGGGGGGGGGGTTTCCTTAAAAAAACAATTTTTGCGGTATTTCTCTACGTGTCTCATCCAACTTGCCGAACTTTATCCCCAATAATTATCGCGTGCGAACCACAGACCGAAGTGGCCTCCAATCGCGTCGTGTGTGTGTGTGTGTTTTTATAATGTGTTCTGCTGTTTGCCGTTGTAACGTTCTCATCCTGCGGTCTAAAAGACACGTTCATCATTCTGACTTCGTGCTCACTCCCGCAAATGACCTGGGATTGAACCCAGGCTGAATCTCTCACTGGGATATTTTCAGAGGTCCTCCCCCCCCGCTCACCCCGCCCCCACCTAGACCACGCCCCCTGACAGCGGGTGGGGGTGGGGGAAATATTTTCTGGAGCTCAGCCCTGAACAGCTCCGGACATTAAGCCCTGATGCTAAGTTCCTTTAGTGTTTTTTTTCTTCTTTCTTGATTTGAAGCTTTCGTGACTGCAGGAATCAACACTCTTTGGTTCTTTCGATAAAGTCATCACGCAGGTAGAAAATAAAATAAATCACGACGTTATAGTTTTGACAACGATCTAGGCACATAAGGGCCTATGCTGCCGATGGTCCGTATACAATACACTCTATAAACTGTACTGATATCGTTTAATGTAACGACCCAACGTCTGTTCGCTATGAAGAACAGACGGTAGTCTGTTGAGTGTCAATCGCCGGCTCATGACCTGCAGGTTTTGAGAAAAAAAACCCCCATCAATTTGACAAGAGAGCCAAGAAACTAAGCACATTGAGGAAGACGAGGAAGACACGCCGAGAAAACGCGTGGAGTGTTCCGGAACGGGAAGAAATGTCGCCTCATAGCGCAAAAACAACAAAAAAAACTTTACAGAAGACGACGCGATCCAATGAATGCCCATTGCGTCCTGTGGTTTTGATAAAAGGGGGAACTCGTCTCTGGAAAGCCAACAGTGGTTGTGTTACGGGGAGGCTGACTCCCATCTTTGGAATGTGAAATTTTCACCATTGGTTCAGAATTGGCTCCCTTGTTTGTTTGCGAAGCCACTTTCTGGATTTAATTCTCACAATTTAAACGAATATTGACGACTTTTTGTCCGAATTTGACAACTACTTGGGCGAACATTTAATAACCAATTCATGTATGCGTCAAGCACCTCCGATTAGCACGGTTGGGTACGGTGCGAAAGAAGTGCAAAATACATACAAGCATCCGCTATTAAATCCGTTCTGTACCCTTTCACGACGGCTCTGATGCTGCTCCATTATTATCACCCACACCCATAGGCCAAGGGCGTGGTGGCGCACGCTTGTAACCCAGCGGTTTGGAGGAACGGGTTGGTGGACCACGCAGATCTGTGAAACTTCCAAACCCACTGTGTTGAAGTGGCCAGGATATGGCAGTGCAGCAAGTTGCTTCGCGAACTCGCCTGCGCGAACATCTTGAGCGCTATCCGTGCTTCTCACTTGAAGCAAAGATGCACGAAGCGTAAAATAACCAAACATCCCCAATACAAAAGCGAAGGAACAGCCCTGTAATTGCTTGCTCACGCCACTGCTGGTGGAACAGGCGCCACTAGAAAGAGCTCTATGGCTAGAACCTCGACAGGTTGTTTGGCCTTCTCTTCCACGTTGACCAAACGTCTGTGAAGAGGTGGGGAGCGGTAGTGAAGCGGTTAGCGCTACGCTGCGCTATGAACCTGGCGACACGGGTTCGATTCCCGCTCACGGCCAACACCAGTGACGATTATCTGAACCGGTCCCGGGACTCCCCTAGGTCGACTCAGCCTCAAATGAGTACCTGGTGCGGTGTGTAAACATCGCCACTGGGGAGACAAAGGCGGTCGGGCGTGGTGCTGGCCACCCACCCCCTCGTGTGCCGTTCCGGTCTTCATAGGTGCTCGCTAACAGCACTTGCCCCTACAGTGTGTTAAGGCTATACGGGGGATCTTTGTCTTTGTACTCGCGATTTATTCTACCATACTGGACCTGTGCCGATCTACTGTGGTGTAGCCACGTGAACTCGGGCGTCAACAGAGGCGGAGAATTCAGGACACTGCGCGCAAAGTTTCAACTATCGCGATGGAATCGAACCTTCATTGCAAGTCCAGCGTATTAACGATGACACCGCGGCAGCATCCCGTCTCAATGCAGGGCCGTCTTGAAAACTAAAACGTGTGAACTCAGACTCTGCGAGCCTTTCCTGGACACACACATTGCATCGTCTTGGTATTATGAGCCGCACCGGAATGTAAGACGCACTGCAAACCTGTGCCCAGTGTTAATAAAACTTAACAATCCTGGTTCACACACAGCTACCCAATTAGAAGACGCAGCTCTAACTTTTGCGGGATTATAATCCAGAACATACAGTAATGTAAACGCAGAACTCCTTTTATCCGCTGTGATAGTCGACCAATATTGCGGGTCCTATTATCCGCGAATTTACTCCTCTTAGATATCCCGCAGGTAATTGGAGCAACGTGTTAGAAAGTACCAAAATCAAAGTAATAAATGCCAAGACACCCACCTCGGATGGCCTTGCCGACCTTGCCGCAGCATCCCGGTTGCTGGTCTTGGGCCACAGCGAGGGCCAGGCCGGCCCCCGCCGTGGAGGCCGGCTCCGTGAGCATCTCCTTGTGGCTCGGCACGCCGAAAGCGCTGCTCGCCGACATTGTGCGGACCGAGGCCGTGGGCGAGCCGGAACGCGAGCCGTCGAACGCATCGTTGTCGTAATTCTGGTGAGACTCGTAGACGTTGGCCTTCTGATTGACGCTCATCGCTGAACCAAATTGCGACGTCCGCCAACGAGAAAGTGAGCCCGATAGGTGAGTGAACTGAGCAAATTTGTGGGGCTCAACTACCAATCAATTATCCTCAGGCTATCTGCTCCGTTCAATTTGTAGCCTTGTCGTCCCTTAATATTGTTTTTCGTGTAATGTTTATTATATATCATATGTTTTTTTAAAATATAAGTTGTGTCGTCTATATATACACACACACACACACGGTTGTTTCCTTGCTATTATAGCCGTATTATTATATCCTAATATCTGCCAGTACCAGAGGCGCTGTGCGTTGGTGACTGTGCAAATGCAAACTGTGTCATCGTGCGCCTCGGAACAGGTGATCACGCCCCACGCTCGCGCAAATTCAATTGTCGTGAGCGACCACGAATACGCGTCGTGGTGGCTTCCCCAAGCAGCCGGTGTCGGTGAGGCAGGGGGGGGGGAGGAGGAGGAGGAGGTACGATGGGGAGAACAGAGACGCAAGGGATGGCGGCTGCTGCTGTTGCGGACATTAAAGTGGGAACGCTCAGAGACAGGGGGGCTACGGAAGGTGGGAGTGGTGCGTGACATCTGGAGCTGTCACAGATCACGTATTATCTCGTCACTGTGGCCATACTGGGAAACGGGGGACGTCATTCCCTGCAGCAGAACCACCACGGTTGTTGATTTGGCATGAAGCAACTCGTTTTGCTCTCCACCAACCAATCCAATGCAACTGGAGTCACATATGTCCCTGGGAATGTGACGGACATTTGAAGCTTGCTTCTTACAGGGCCAGCAACAACACAGAACGTAACTACTAAAACATCTACTGGGAACGAAATTCTGAATCGGCAGAAAAAAGAGGTGCAAATAAATTGTTTAAATCTAGGGTACAGTTTGTATTTGTCTGTGAAACATTGATAACGTGAGAGAAAATGAAATTAAAAGCCCCGTTTTGGAGCGTGTGTAAACACGGATTCCAAGTACCACGTCGACACGTTTTCATCGGATCGACAGCAAAGTGTGTGGCCATTTGTGAAGTTCATGTCACGTTGGTTATGGTGAAATCATGAGTAGTGCCATATTGTGCGCATACGTAAATGCACATCCGTCTTGTCAATCCACCACTGGCTGAGGGGTCCTTCCCACGCCGTGTGGGTCGTGGAGGTGACTTGACCATACTTCACCACGCCGGCCAGCGCGGTTTGGTGCGAAGGCGGCCTGCAGATAATTGTAAGCATAGATGTAGAGTCCGCCGATTGATGTTGCCGCACTGCCCTCTGCTGCTCCATAGCAAAGTGTCGCACTGGCATATAACACTTAATATATGTAACACCAAGCTACATCCAGCACTATCCTGCAGGTGATTTAGTCATAGGCTATTGTACGCATAGCGTACATACTTTGTACACAGATAAACTCGTTTCGTCCGGCAAGCTAAATGTTACGCTCGAATGTGTTGAGCGAGGAGGACGGATACTAGCTGCGAGCTGCCAGAGTTGACAGGGCGTATTTATTTGGCTAAGCTTATTAAGCGTTGGCTCCAGTGCAGTTACAGTACGCACACTGGCCTGCATGTATACACGTCGTCTCGATGTCTAATCGTAACAACTGGTTGGGCAACACGGATTCAGCACCGCGTTAGGTGGACAGCGAAATTCTATAGTGTGTTCATTTAATTGTCCTTACGAAATGCACTGTGCTATTTACACACGGGCTGAATTTCACTCCATTGTGCCCGGTTCACCTGAGAGGCTCGCGGATACAATGTCTTCGTTTTATAGTTGGACTTAAGAGAGCGCGATTATAGTCAGGAAGATGTTCTTGGTTGTTTTGTCATTTAGTTTATAATACTATTTACGTTTAAAAAAAAAAAAACAGTGACCCAAATACACAATGTCACGGCATTATGGCGCTGCGTGGTTAGTTGTTAAATACGCAACCAAATGTTGAGCTGAGTGGCGATGAAGCTCCGATGCGGTCGATGGTGCATTCGTATGTTTTTTTTTGTTGTACGCGCGCACAGTTACGCACGAGATCTGTGACTGCCGAACGTCGTGGCTCACCAACGACAGCTGACCGACCGTTCGTGGCGAGGCGACGCCGTGCGGCAGTCACACGGAAGGATTTAACTTTTCACATGCGATGTTCGCCCAAGCGCACGGCATTGTGCCTTTGCCGCGTCGGGTTAGCGCTCGTCTGTTTGAGTTCCTTTTAATTCTGGCCGCCGTTGTCCCAAGTACTCGCGTTACCCTTGCATCTGTCACCGCTACATTCAGAGCCCGTTTGGGTATGTTTAGGCTTATAATGATTCTTCACCACCGACGCCACAAAAAAAAAACACCAACAGTCGGAGATGTATATATATAAAAAAGACGATTAAACTATTTATTTTTATTTTATTTTACCAGGCAAGCCCCACAGAGCTATACAGCTCTTGTTCATAAGTGACCTGACCAAAAATGATTGCTCAACGAAGTGGCTTATCGCGTAGAAATGTATAGCAGCCAACTACTCTAAACGCATGTTTCTAAATGTGGACGTAAAAACCGGAGAACCCCGAGAAAAATCCACGCGACCACAGGGAGAACATGCACACTCCAAAGAAACAGCAGGCGTCAGGGTCTGGATCGAACCAAGGACCTCCTGTATACCAGGCGAGGGAGTAAACATCTAGCCCCACGCTGACCACACCGCCACAGTTACCATCTACACTACAATTGTAAACAAACCAAGCCATGGCGCGATTGTGGCGTGCGCAATCACAGTGACTCTGCCATTTGATCCAAGGCGTATTAAAGGGAACAGACACTCACAAGATGTGCAAAGATGCCATGGTTGTATGGATTACCCGAGCACCGTTCAAGTATGTCAGATTGAAAAATAAAGTGGGCCGCAGGTGCTCGATCGTTAATCATAGGCTACACTATTCACACATGTGTTGAAAATCCATTTCCAGATTATTATGTATTTTTGATAATTGAACACGATTAATGAAACGTGCGTTAGTTACTATGGCAATTGTATCGGTATAAACGTGCATTTTAAGGACCAACAGCATTGGTGTAGAAACACAGTCTAATTTAATACAGCTATTCTTCATTATCAGCTGTCATGATCTCTGCATGGCTGGATTAAGGCCTCCCCATGACTTTGCCATTTCTCTCAATCCCGCGTCGCCACAATCGGTCTGGCTTCCGAGCATGAATTGATCTCAAAATTCTACCTCCACGTGGTCATCCTCCCGTGTACGTTCCCTCCGACGTCTCGTATTCTGTCACCAGCTATGAATCCCTCGCGATGTGTTCTGCCAAAATCCAATTTTCTTAACAACCAATACAATGGCTATCATGATTGTGTTTTTTTCGGTTACAAGTGTTCATCTTTATGTCTCCAAGCATGCGCCCCTACGTGTTTTGATTACATTTAAAATCTAGTTCAATATTGTATGTCAGTGTCCATGTTTGCGACCCATAAGTCATAGCAGACAATATGCACGGATTTAAACATGGCTTTCATGTTTGTATGTTGAACATCTTTTGCACAGTATGTAGCCATCCGTGCTCATCAGAGGTGTGGGGAAGGACAACAAATTAAATATAAAAATACGTTCTAAAGAAATTAGTTTTCAATCCAGATGGTTTAAAAGTGCATAGATCCAGTGGCTTCCTAATATCGGAAGAAAGAGCGTTCCAGACGGCCGCAGAGGCGCTTCTGAAAGGATTGTGCCTTTAGAGGAGTTGTTGCCGATATATTACTGTTAAAGGAACAGCATTCGTACACTCGTCTGTGTCACGCTCATCTATCTACGCGCCGTGTTGCAGAATAATGTACGTAATAGCACACATAATGCTGTAGTCATAATATACATTTTATTTGTATAACCGGGCATGGCTAAGTTGCTGATTAGAATGGTATTGTAAAAATTAAAAAAAGTTTACATTTCGCAAAAATATCGTGAACCCAACATTTGTAACAAGAACAATGAGAAAGTAAAAGTTTCGCCTTGGCCCTCCAACAATGGAAAGCAAACATTTGAACAGGTTTATATATTTGTATATACTGTATGTGGTGGTGTCAAAGGTGTTCCATCCAAAAGTGACATTTTTACTTCCATCCCACTGGGATTTTTGCACACAGCGTTGGTGTACGGTGCTTTTTCTGGAATATTTTGATGTTTTTTTCCTGGATTTTCTGTTTGCACGGTCACATAGTCACTTTAAGATGTTTTCTTGTTCATGTTTTAGTTTTTTTGTTTGTTGCAGTTGCACCCGATCAAGAGCCGAATGGCTCACAGGGCTATACCAAATAAATGAAACTAAACTAAAAAAACTACGAAACTAAAGACATCATTAACATTTTTGGACGCTTTTTTTGTAAGAGTGTTTGCAGAGATCGGGCCAATCTCCTATCAGTTGCGAGTAACAGTCAGAGCGACACGAGTTGCAAATCATGTTCATCCACGATGTTATGTATTGACTTCGTATTGTTCACTTTTTTGTTGTTGCTTTCAAGATAAATGGTTGCGATTGAGCTGCACCCACTTTGACTGAGGAAGGCGCCTCAAGATGACCTCCTAAGCCGAGAGGGATGCGGTACAAATTGATGCGTTAAAATTAAATTACAGGCCCTGCTGACCTTCTGATGTGCCAGACAATGGCGCAAATGACTGCACGCTGTCCATTTTGGCCTTCAATAATTGGCGAAGCGAACTCAAAATATACACCGTTCACAATAAGCAAATTGAATAAACGTCATTTTCATTCAACAAACCACCTTATTAAGGACGCTCAAGAGATCCACAAGTTTAAGCCACGTGCACAATACTAGCGACGCTTTTTATTACGTATTGAATGCATTACACATTTTAAGTCTGCATACTGGCAGTGGTCTTAATTGAAATTTAGAAGTACACCTCCCCCACCCCCCCCCCCCCCGGTATGTCACGTGTTCATCCTGCAGCCCATGTTCACTGCCGCTCGCCGACAAAAATACCAGCGTTGCTTTTGGTTAAACGTTGTCAAACGCGCCGGTACACGTGGTAGGTGTTGTGATGACGTGCCAGAATACGTGGTAGGTGTTGTGATGACGTGTCAAAACACGTGGTAGGTCTTGTGATAACGTGCCAGAACACGTGGTAGGTTTCGATTTAAAGCTTTCGTGACTGCAAGGATTCATCTTCTTTGGTTCTTTCGGTAAAGTCACGTAGAATGTCGTCCCGACAGGTCTGTTCCTTTCACCTGAAGAAGGCCACTTGTGTTGTGGCCGAAACGTCGTGAGAATTTAATTGCGTTATTTTATTATTTTATTCTCATTCTACGTGACTTTACCGAAAGAACCAAAGAACACGTGGTAGGTGTTGCGATAGGTACCGGTACACGTGGTAGGTGTTGTGATAACGTGCCAGAACACATGGTAGGTCTTGTGATACGTGCCGGTACTCGTGGTAGGGCCTGTTTATCATAACACGCGGTATATACAGTATCTGTATTGCCTGCATTGAAAACAACATGATGTGTTTCGCATGTGCACATGGATGATTTTAACATTGCAATTTTAAACTACTTCATAATCACATGTACCGCATACATGTACGTGTATGAACCCCACGCGTCTTTAAAATCTTGTTTACAGAACACACACGAGCAGACTCCCACAATGTACTGGAACATTTCTCTACAAACGCAAATTCAAAGACAAAGATCCCCCCGTACGATCTACCAGGCTACTGAGACAAGTACTGTTATCGTGCACGATGTGGTGATACGAAGTTACATGCCCCGCGGCCTTTATCTCCCCATTGGTGATGTTCACATACCGCATTAGGCACTCATGTAAAGCTAAAGCGATTCAAATAAAACACTCAACACAGATGTTAGCAGTGGCCGGGATTCGACTCAGGACCAATTAAAATAAAACACTCAACACAGATGTTAGCAGTGGCCGGGATCCTAACTCAGGACTGATTAAAATAAAACACTCAACACAGATGTTAGCAGTGGCCGGGATCCTAACTCAGGACTGATTAAAATAAAACACTCGTCAACACAGATGTTAGCAGTGGCCGAGATCCTAACTCAGGACTAATTAAAATAAAACACTCAACACAGATATTCTTGGTTCAAGACACTCTACAAATCACACTTATCATTGATGGCAACAATCTCCACATCGGATTGGGAACATGTAGACAATATGACTGCCTCTTCACCTGCCACTATGTCGACCAAATGTAAGGACAACCTGATTTTCAAATTTAACCTCCTCTCCAACAAAAGACCGGACCCACACACCAATAATCTAGACGTTAACAAAGTCGTAATTAATAGCAGTAACAGTTCTATTTCCGATGGTCTGAAATCCGATTTAGCTAAAGGGCTAAACTTTGCAGTCACACCTAAACACATACCAATTAATGTTATCATTGCTCAAGTAAACGTGGCTCTCAAGGGCCTGGCCACATCGCTGCAGACGTAGCAAGATCTGAAATCGCTGCAACCCTCAAAAACGCTAAGATGCCAGCTAGCAACCTCAGAAAAGATGAGCGTTTTGAATTATATCAATTAAAAAGGAGGGATAACATTGTCATCCTCTCAGCCGACAAGGACAATGCCACTGTCATCATGGATAAAATAGAATATAACAACAAAATTCAAGAATTACTCAACGATGGCAGCTATACAAAAATAAAAAGAGATCCCACCAACAGCCTCGTCATACAAACCAACAAAATCATTTCTGATTCAACCGCATTAATTGATCAAACCAAACAGTTCTCGTTGAAACCTTCTGGTGCCAGGCCACCAAGATTATACGGCTTACCAAAAATACATTAAGTAGATACACCCTTCGTCCCATCGTCTCTACTATCAACTCCCCCACCTACAAACTGGCTCGTTTTCGGTCACTGGAAAAACCACCTCTGCGGTACAAAATTCTACTCACCTGGTTTCGACAATCACGGGTATTTCCCTGTCCCCAGACGACCTGCTTGTCAGTTTTGATGTAGTTTCCTTATTCACCAAATTTCCTGTACCTGACACCATCGCAATCATTGAAGACTTGGTTCATCAAGGACTAAGCACTGAGGTACCCCCCCTCCCCCCTGGTGAGACACTGCTTAACCAATACATACTGCACTTGGAATGGAACTTTCTACAAACAAACTGAGGGCACCCCAATGGGCTCCCCCTATCTCTGGTTGTAGCCAACATTTTCATGGAGAAATTTGATGCTGACGCCATCCAGACTGCCACTCTGCGCCCAACCTTATGGAAGAGGTACGTGGATGACACTTTTGTCATCTGGCCACATGGCCGGCCTGCTCTAGACCAATTCTTCGACCACATCAATTCCATACACCCAGCCATCAGATTTACCATGGAAGTCGAAAAAGATGGCAAGCTACCTTTTTTGGATGTCCTAATAAAAAAGAGACCTGATGGTTCAATGAGCCACTCTGCCTACAGGAAAGCTACCCATACGGATGCTTACCTGAAACCGGATTCCCACCACCATCCATCCCAGAAGAATTCCCTCATCAAGACTCTGCACCATAGAGCCCAATGCATATCCGACCAGGAACACATAGCCAGTGAAGTCAAGCACGTACACCAAGCTCTTAAGGCTAATGGTTACTCTGACTACACAATCCGCAAAGCTATCACTCCAACCATGAAGAAGGATCCTCTTGAGGAGCCTTTCAAAACCATCACTTTGCCCGACATTGCGGGGATCACAAAAATATCTCCAAAATCTTGAATAAACACAAGATCCAGGTCCGATTCAACACATTACATAAAATCCGTGATTTGGTTCTGTCTGTAAAAGATGTGATTCCGGACATACAGTACCCTGGTGTCTACAAACTAAGTTGCCTCTGTGGTAGTAGTTACGTTGGAGAAACCAAACGACATGTCTCAGACCGCATTCGTGAACACAAAGCAGACCTAAAACACGGTAGGACCAACACCTCGGCCGTGGCATATCACTGTTATAATTCAGTAGGCTCACATGACATTGACTTCTCCAAGACAGAGGTTATTTGCAAGCCATCTGGCTACCATGAGAGATTCGTTCATGAGGCTATCCACATATACAAACACAGAGACAATTTCAACCGAGAAGATGGATTCTGGCTTCAGTAATCATTGGAAGGATTTGATAAACCATTTCAGGTCTTAATTGATTGTTCACGCTTATGGTGGCTTTCAGACCGCATCCATTATTTTCGTCTCCCCCCTCCTCTTTTCCGAACATAGATAGACTCGTCCATCTGAATAACTGCTAGATCGCTCTCCGTGGTGCTAACGTTAAAAAACCGCCACTTTTTTCACATTTTCTTGCTGTGGCTTTCACACCTGATGATGATTGCTTGTGTTGCAGTCGAAACGTCGTGAGAATTTGATTTTTTATATTTTTATTATTTTATTGTTTCCCTTCTACGTGACTTTACCGAAAGAACCAAGAATATGAATCCCTGCAGTCACGAAAGCTTTAAATCAAAACTCAACACAGATGTTAGCAGTGGCCGGGATTCGACTCAGGATTGATTAAAATAAAACACTTAACACACATGTTAGCAGTGGCCAGTATGCGACTCAGGACTAATTAAAATAAAACACTCAACACAAATGTTATCAGTGGCCAGGATTCGAACTCACGACTGATTAAAATAAACACTCAACACAGATGTTATCAGTGGCCGGGATTCAAAACTATTGCGTGTCGGGTTCGTGGCGCGCGCATCGAACATAACCCACTCCACCACCGTCCGTTCGTCCATCCGTTCGCCCCATAACACACACACACACACGCACCCAGAAATAATAATTGGCTGAACGCAGCCGTGTGCCGCTTAAGTGCTTTAATTGCTCCTCGTCGCATGGGAAAAACACCGCTTATTATTCCAGTGCAGCGTGGCGGCTCCGTGCCCGCGGGGGCCATATGGCGAGGCATGCTGGTGCTGAGTGCCCCAGCCCCATGGAAGGCAGGTCCCAGGATGGTTCCCAGGGCGGCTGGACGCCGCGGGACGCCGGGTGGTGGTGGTGGTGGCTGTGGTGGTGGCGGCACTCGCCTCGCTTCCACCGGATCGACGCGCTCCTCCACCTGTCCAGCGAAACGGCCTCTCCTCCCGCTCTCCCTCTGCACACTCACTCACGTGGCCCCCTCTGTATATATATGAATCAACCCAGCCCGGGAAACAACGAGCCGCTTTGTTAAAAGACCAGAGTCAAGGCTAAGAAACGACCAAACATTAGTTAAGAGATATATATATATAGATTATATATTATCATTACGTGCCGAGCTTAAAGTTATAGCCAATGGACTAATGTAGTACTTAATTGCATCCAATGTATATATAGTGCAGTATATATTTTATTATATCATACATACAGCTCATGTGCTATTTGTGCGTTTGCACCAATGCCAACGCAGTATTCACCAAATAATCAGTTTCAGGTGGTTCATGTCTAAAGTAGAGCGCGTCGTGTTATTGAACGGGGATGCATTGCGTCTCATCTTAATCCAGCCGCGGATTGACCAAGGGCTGTAGATTATCTTCATCGGACAGTTTCCCTCGCTTAGATATTGCCAGCGAGACATTTCTCAGCCAGATCGTTTTGGTGACTCGTTCATGGAATTCTTATGAAGCGCATGCTGAACGAGTCATAGCTCAGAAGACACACTTGGAACAAGGTAAATTATTACAACCATGTAGTTGTATAGGTTAGTGTCATTATAACTTAACTTGAATGCTTACATTTGTATACTGTATATTTATTCTGTTTAACCAAGTTTTTGTATTATTATTGCAATTATATATTTTGAATCACTAATTTCATTGATATGCAATGGTTTAAAAGGCACGCCTAAACTGCCGTATTTGGTGATTCAATGCGTGTTGCTGTATACATTATATAAATGATGACCCAGCAGCGTGACGAGCGTCGGACTGGGGGTGCCTTTGCACCCCCCCCCCCCGCCCTGGTGGCCAAAGCCACAAAGTTGGGGCCCCCTTGACAACTACCATGAGATTTGTTTTCAACAACGGTGTAACAGAACATAAACACGAATGTAATGCTGTGATTGGGCAAGACGAGCCGCGATATATCGCCGAGGGACGAACGCGCGAGACAAATGAAACTTTTGGGACCCCACGTGACCGATTGCCGCACCTCCTGAGCTGATAATTCAGAGTTACTACACCACTGAAGCGACCACGTTACCTGGAACGCGCCTTCTCTCATTACTTCGGAAGCTAAGCTGGGTTGAGCCTGGATAGTGCTCGGGTGGACAACCGCCCATGCACGCTAATGTGTCATTGGTTGCAGGGCTACCTGTTGGGAAACACAGGGCAGTGTGTCAACATTCATCAGAGGACTGTACTTAAATTCCCCCCGTGGCTATGCTCCCCGCCTTGACCACAGTACTACACCGGCGTGGTGAAGTATGGACAACCTGCCCAGACTGGCCTGGTGTAGGGGAAACCCTCACCCAGCAGTGGATTGATTCAGGGCTGTACCTGTGCATATAATAATTTTTAATGTAAGTGCATCGATAATGAAATTGTGACGGCACAAGTGTCAGTGAATGTACTTACCTCATATCTTACTACAAAAACTGATCCTGCTCGTGTATCACTAGATCTATGGCCAATTAAAGTGATACACAACCTCTGACCAGGTTGTCCAATTGCATTTAAAAATGCTAAGTTAACAGGAGTACATATTTCATGGGTTTTAAATATCAAACTTTGAGATGAAAATCCCACGTTAATTCATGGGAGGACTTATTTTCTCGCCAAAGATGTTCAGCGTCGCTGGTAGACTGGAGTGGCCACGCAACTAATAGCCACAGCCATAGCGAGAGGTACACTGGACGTGATTTGCCCGGTGTTGAAATTATTTTTTGGTCACTGACTTGGACAGAGCCAGCTGAAAATAATCCCTGATTCATGGGATACAATCAAACTTGTCCAAGGCCCGCTGGTGACGCTGGTGATGTCCACGTCGTAACGCAGGTGATGAAGACAGCTCGGAGGAGAGGGACAATCGGGGCTGACGAGCCACAGGAAACCCCCGGCTGCACGAGGCGACGTCTTGCGGCCAACGCCCGCGAGAGGAGACGCATGCAGGGCCTCAACGTGGCCTTCGAGAGACTCCGGCAGGTGGTGCCACAGTGGGGCCAGGACCGAAAGCTCTCCAAGTACGAGACCCTGCAGATGGCCCTAAGTTACATTGCGGCGCTCAGCCGCTTGGTGGCCAGGGCTGAGATAAGCATCGGGATAGGAGTTGGGGAGCCTCCTGCAATGGCTGAGGAAGAGACCTTCTCGTCTGCCACCGAGTCTCACTGCTGCCCTTGCTACCTTCCGCATGAAGACGGCTCGCAAGTGCCAGCTGCTTTCGAAGGCGCCGCCACCTTCGAACACATCTGTGATTCGTTCGCCGTTGTGCAATGAGAACTCTGAAAATGCTGATTCGGCTATGTGTGCCGGATTAAGCTAGTGCGGGGCCTGTAGCATATGTTATAAAGGGGCCCTACATTTTTTTTAAACGTAAAAATTAAAACACAAATTCTTTTACTTGCATTGTAAAGTAATTGTATTTTTCATTTGCTATACAACCAGATAATACGACAAATCGCTAACCTTAAACACCCAGTCGTTCATAAAAGTTGAAGGCAGTTTAGTACTATAGTAATAGAGCAAGTGCAGAATCACTGATCCGGAATTAATAGCTTGAAAGCATTTAGCGCGGGGCCCTTGAAAGCGCGGGGCCCTTGAAAGCGCGGGGCCCTTGAAAGCGCGGGGCCCTTGAAAGCGCGGGGCCCTTGAAAGCGCGGGGCCCGCAGCACATATGTCGCTACTTTTGCTAAGATAATCCGGCACCGTCGGCGATGTGTGCCGGTGTGTATGGGGAATTGCAGCACAGGTGTTGGCGTGCTGCAAGACAAATCCGGCAAACATGCGTTTGATTTTGCCGCTCACGGCCAACATAAGTGGCAAATATTTGAACCACACCCGGGCCTTGCATAATACATGATTTCCCCGGTGTGATGGGAAGATAAAGGCGGCTGGGGCATGGTGCTGGCCACACCGGAACCCCGGTGCACTGTCGACTCTCATAGGTGCCCGATAATGGCACTTGCCCCTCTCTGTGTGTGCGCATGAATGGCGGACAGCACGGACGATCGTACACTGGGTGTAGCCGTGTGCTCTCCTGTTGAGATTCTCTTCGAACTGACAGTTGATACAGCGGAGTGTGGACTGAGCCTTCCAGGAAATGCTGCCCACTCTACATTGTCCACATCAAGTGCATCACTGTGTGTTGGCATTTTATCTGGTGCATAGTAAACATGATTTTCGATTTAAAGCTTTCGTGACTGCAAGGATTCATCTTCTTGGTTCTTTCGGTAAAGTCACGTAGAATGAGAATAAAACAATAAAACAAAATAAGACAATAAAATTCTCACGACGTTTTCGGCCACAACACAAGTAGCCTTCTTCAGGTGACTTGTGTTGTGGCCGAAACGTCGTGAGAATTTTATTGTCTTATTTTGTTTCATTGTTTTATTCTCATTCTACGTGACTTTACCGAAATAACCAAGAAGAGTAAACATGATGTCATGAAAGACTGGATTCTACACTGAATGCAGTATTGTCCTATGTTTTTATTACATGGAACTCAGGTCGCCGGGTTTGTAGCGCAGTGCATGAACCACCGCGCGCGCCACTATATTAAGACGTTGATTTACAAACCAGTGTAAATTATGATATGGTAATAAGAATTAATTAATAGGGAAACTAGGCACGCAGTATGACTTACACAAGCTCAATTACAGCCTTATCCTGGTACATGTAGTCATATGTGTGATTTGTGCAAATATGCATGGCAGGAGTTGAGATTTTTACATGTAGCAGGTGGGTATAGTATTATTTACAACGCAAAGCTTTAAAAAATAATATGCATACATTCTGGGACACAACAAACATAGAGAACAAAAACATAAAACAAAATAATAGATGTAAACTTCATACATTAATATCGTACATTTAGGGTGAAGTCTTTGGAAGGGTAAAGTGAACAGCACTTCACTGCACAGGCCAGTGCAGATCGGTAAAGCGGGGCACAGGACCAGTTCTGATATCGCTTTCGCCACTGATGTTAGCCCTTGTGGGGAATCGAACTCAGGCGGCTGGGATCATAGTGTGGTATGCTAACCACTATGCCACCGCTCTCCCTTCATTAACTTCCCTGACCAGCGTGGTGAAGTTATAACCCCAATACATTACATGCTGCGAAGAGGCTTTCATCCACCAGTGGATTGAAAAAGGGATGGAAAATTATTGTTATTATACATTCATATCTGTAGCCATGATATTGTGTAAGCAAGTCATTTGAAACTATACACTAGTGAGTTAATGTATGCTCAAAAAGGCCGAATTTATTTTAGAAATGTGGACATATTTAATGTCAATTCCGTTGTATACATATGGCCGAATAATATTGATTTTATAAATTAGATTTTGCTGAGATGTCTTAATAAGACTGTTGAATAAAAATGCTAAAGCAATATTACCTTGTGTTTACATGTGTACCCAAGTATTATTCCACCATCATCCCGGTGCAAACTTTATGGGTTTTTTAATGTTTTGGCCTTTTCCCACAGTTTTAACGGGATTGGTGGTGTCATGGCATGAGCCAAATATCCATTCGACTTCTCGGAGAGCAGTGCAATTCTTCGTGCTCGGGAACAATGCATGGAAGAGGATACCAAAGAGCTAGCTCGGAGATCCATACGAGTGACACCTTTTCCACAACGTAGGGGACAACACTTTTCCCACCTGAATTGACAAAGAGAGTTTTGTTTATTGTATGGCAGTGAAACCACTATTTGTATTTCTCAGAGGTGGAATTTAGTCAAATTAAGTGCAGAATCAAATTTTATGCGTTTTTTTAAAATTATCTGACATTCATAGCCAGTGCTGAGACCATCAACTCATTTCACTTGAGAATCCGGTTTAATCACAGGCGCCTGCCTGGATTCAAACGCAGATTGTCAGTGGTGCTGCATTCATTCACATATTTTGTGTGTTTTTAGGGTTGCTGCCCGTGGTCATATGGTTAGAGTACTCGACGTGAAATGGATATCACCTGTGCAATCTGCCTGCGCGGCATTTGAAAACAATAAGGATTCCTTAATCCCTGTCTCTGTCCACCCAGTAATACAGTATACACGATTGAAAGCTTTCGTGACTGCAGGGATTCATATTCTTGGTTCTTTCGGTAAAGTCACCACGTAGAAGGGAAATAATAAAATAATAAAAATTTAACATAATAAAATTCTCACGACGTTTCGGCCACAGCGCAAGCAGCCGTTCTCAGGTGAAGAACAGAGCGTCCTAATGACGCTGTCTTTAGGACAGCACCTGAGGACGGCTGCTTGCGTTGTGGCCGAAACGTCGTGAGAATTTAATTTTTATTATGTTTTGTTTTATTATTTTATTATTTCCCTTCTACGTGACTTTACCGAAAGAACCAAGAATACAGTATACACGGTTCAGCCACTGCTAGTTGATCGGCAGGTCACGGTGTGGTTTGGGTACATTGTTGGTACTACGACCATTTCCAGAATGTCTGGCCGGTGTGCAAGCGTTGGCTAAATATCCTTATCGATGGAAATCTATGTAGCTCCCTCTGGTGGAGTCTGTCTTATTTGAAATGGAATCGATCTCGTTTGAAAGAGGCAGGAATGAACAGAGAGGAGCGGAAAGAGCACTGCAATACGATTTGGAAGGAAACTGTAATGCCTCTTTGGATCATATAGAAAACAAAGCACTGTAGTCTCGCTCCTTCAATGGAGGAATAGCAAAAATACACAAACTCTCCCCTGAAGACCTACCGTGGTTAGCAGACCTCGATATTGGAATTTAGCTGCTGAATATATATTTCCATACATAATAGAATGGAACGCCACAATGGCTCAAAAAACCATCGAGGCAACCTTTATTGAAACGATATATATTTTAAAATGCATATCTTCTTCAGAAGTTTTCTCGACTAGGGCAGGTCCACGGCTTAAGGTCTCATTTGATCACACTTCAAACTTTCAACACCACACTGTTGTCCGACAGGCGAAGTTGAGGTGACTTGCCAATAACTTATTCAGCAGTCGATTTAAGTAACACCATCACCGGCTGCAGTTAAAGTCACAACAAGGATGCATAACATACATACATTCATATTGAACTTGTTGGTTATTTAAAAATGACAACTCATTTGCCACTTTTGTTCCAGTTCTTACGTCTTCCCGTGTTAATTCTGCAAGGGTATATTGTACAGAACAGGGAGTAAAGGGTTGGTGCAGTGATGACCACACTGGTATGAACCCGGCTATCGGAGTTCAGTTGGAGGCCATAGCTAACATCAGTGGCAATTGATGTCTGAACGGAATTTGAGGCCCCTTCCCAAAGCGACGGAGGCATTTAAGCAAAGCTTTCTCCCCGGATTCACGACAACATACGGATGTTTAGAATAAATATCAGCTCATATTCAAATAATGATTAACATAATATGATCGTTAACAAAGCCAATTCATATATTTTATCTTATTCTCACTACATCTCTGTTTCGGTTTTCATTTGAATACCCCCCCTCCCACCCCATACCCCCCCCTCCAACCCCATACCCCCCCTCCCACCCCATACCCCCCCCTCCCACCCCATACCCCCCTCCCACCCCATAAGTTCAAAAGTTCTTCTTGGAGACCCCAATGGGCTAGCACAGGGATCGGCGCACCACCACTGCCTCTTGGCCTATAACGACCCGCACCGGCCAGTGTGGTGAAGTATGGTCGAGTTACCCCTTTTCGTGGCGCGGGAAGGCCTTCGTTCAGCAGTGTATTAGCGAAGGGCATACCTAGTACAATCACCCAGGAATGTCTGTCCTTAACGCTCGTGACGTCACTCCACATCGACCAGCCCCCCTCATTAATATTCATGAGCCAGGTGATGTCCTCCAAATGGACCCCCCCCCCATTCATAATAATTAGCGGTTGACGTCACTCCACATGGGGGGCCGAGGTGCCCCCCCCTCAACTGACAACCCTCACTACAGAGGCAGAACCCTCATCACGTCACGCGATCTCCGTGACGCTGTTGTTGAGACATCAAAGTAAAAAGGACGTCGTGATGAACAAGGGATTATAACCTTAAAATGAAATAAGTCTGTGTCATATTCTTTGGTTATTTCGGTAATGTCACGTAGATAAAAATTAAACTAAAAAAAACTCACGACGTGTAAATCGCAGCACAAGCGGCTGTCATCAGGCGGGGAGAAAAGGGGGGGTAAGCATCTAAATGCAACTGTTTAATAAAGGTTTAAAATGTGCGTAGCCCAAGTGTCATAAGGAGTGGGGGAAAAGAGCCACGGGGGAGCACGAACGGACGAGCTCGAGCTGAGCGGCAAGCGGCGGAGTCCAAGTGTGTTAGCAGCATGGGCGAGGCAGCTAATTATTAATGTAGGAGAAGACAGCGGGGGAGAGGGGGGTAGAGATAGGGG